GGTGACGTCGTCGGTCGAGCCGATGTAGAGGAGATCGTCTACGTAGACGATGAGTAGAATGTAGTCGTTGCCTTTCGTGAGTTGGTACATGCCCTGGTCGTGCGGTAGCTGGCGGAATCCGATGCGGATGAGTCGAGCGTGTAGATACTGTTGCCAAAGTCTCGGAGCCTGTTTGATACCGTATAGAGAGTTTAGCAGTTGCCACACTTGGTTAGGATCTCCGTTGGAACCGTGAGGTAGTTCGACGAAGATTTCGGCGTCAACAGGTGCGTAGAGAAATGCATTGGCGACGTCAATTTGCCGCAGCTTCTTCTTCTTCTTCATGGCGGCTATTGTGAGGAGAATTCGCAATGAGGTATGTCGGCTGACCGGAGCGAATGTTTCGGTGAAGTCGCGTCCGTGCTCTTGGTCGAAACCGCGCACGACCCAGCGTGCCTTAAACTTGTCGATGGTGCCGTCTGCCTTTGTTTTTACACGGAAAACCCATTTTCCGGTGAGTACCGCTTTGTTACGTGCCACGCCGATGGGAACGACTTTCCAGGTGTTTCGTTCTTCCAGTGCTTTCAGCTCCTTGTCCATGGCTTCACGCCGTTTTTCCCTATGCTCCCCCCCCAGAGCATGCTGAACTGTGGCAGGCTCTTTAAGAATCGCCGTGCCGTGGACCGCGGTGACGAGGCCAAGTATCTGGAGTCTGCTCTGTGTGTAGCGGGGAAGTGTCGTGTCTTCGGGATAAGCTGCTTCGTCTCCCGCTTCTGGGTCAGGTATGAAATTGGGACCTATGCGTTCTGCTTCGTTGGTGTTGACTCTTGTAGGTGTAACGTAACCGTTGTCGGCGAAGTGGTAATATACTTCGGCGTTGACGCTTTCACGAGGATTTTCGTCATCCATTGGGACGTCGACGGAGCAGTAAGGAAGAGGTCCGGCTTCCTCCGAGGCTTCATCCACATTCTGCTCGTCCCAGTCAGCTTCGTCTGCTGCCGAGGCGAAGGCTCGATCACCATGAAAACCACCTGTGGGGTCCCGGTCTTCTTCCAGGTTGGCAAGGTACGTCGGAAGTGTGAGTCGCTCATAGAAAATGACATCACGTGCTGCCACTGTTTCCTTTGAGTGGATGTCGAAAATCTTCCACGCGTTGTAATTCTTTTCAATGCCCAGGTGTAGACCCCACTGTGCGTGTTGGGCGAATCGGCCGGCTCGTGCAGTTGGGGGTCGGTACTGTACCATGCAGCCGAAAACTCTTAACATTTTTGTGCTGCCCTGTTTTCCTGTCCACAGCAGGTGCGGTGATGCGTTGTTCAGGAGCGATGATGACGAGAGCAAGTTGTGCAGCATGACAACGTGGTCCATTCCTTCGGGCCATTGGTGGTTGGGTAGCCGCATGCCACGTAGCAGCTTGCGCATGGTGTTCTGGAGAGTCCTGTTCATCCTTTCTGCTACGCCTTGCTGTTGGTGGGCGTAGGGAAGAGAGATGAGCCGCTTGATTCCTCTCTCTGCCAAGTACTGCTTGAACCTCTGTGAGGTGTATTCTCCTCCCCCATCAGACTGAAAGCTCTTTAACTTGACTCCAGATTCCCGCTCTGCTACTGGGAGCCAGGCAACGAAGGCTTCAAAGGCCATGTCGCGGCTTGGAAGGTTGAGATGCCAGACATAGCAAGTGGCGGCGTCGATGAATGCGATGGTGTAGCTGTATGCTCCTTGTCCAGGTTCGCGATTGTACAGGATGTCGCTGTACACTTTTTCCAAAGGCGCATAAATTGGAGCACTAGGATTGTGATGAGGGACAACAGCCAATGCGGTAAGTCGGCTTCGGGGCAGGTAAAGCACGTTCTGCGAGCTCGTCGAAGTTCGCTTCCGTCGGTTAGAAGCAGTGAGTCTTTGTCGAGCACGCGTGCTCTGATTGTGTTGTTTAACACCGTGTTGCTTCGATGTCCCATTCGTGCATGCCAGATATCTTTGCCAGCTCGATGTCCGGGTGAGCGACGGTATAAGTCGGAGTTGGAGTAGAAGCCTGCGGTGAAATTTGCGCTTCGATGGACTTCTCATGGTGTCGTCGATTGGGGCTGGTGCAGTTGAAGGACCCGCGATTGGTGCCGATGTTGTCTCTGTTGCTGCTGGTGTTGTCTCTGCTGCTGCCGATGTTGTCTCTGCTGCTGCGGATGTTGTCTCTGCTGCTGTCGATGTTGTCTCTGCTGCTAGTGATGCTGTCTCTGCTGCTGTTGAGTGTTGAATCGTTGCTAATGCTCTTGTTCGTTCTGCCTCAGGAATAGTGTGCGAATACCAGAAGCCTTCGGGGCTGAGGTCGGCATCAAGATCCGGTGGGTGCGTCCAGGAGGTGAAAGTGACGATTCCGTCACTGTCGGCGGTGCCTAGATCTGGAACGAAGTCGAGGACGAAGACGTTATTCTTCAGGACCGACTTTTCGATGTAAAGTCCGCCTCTCCCGTGGTATGGCTTGAACTCCTGAGTGGTGCTGTCTGCTTCGAGATGGATGCCTTTCGCCATCAGCTGACTGACGTTTAGTAAGTTGTAGCCGAGTCTTTCTGCTATTAAAACCTTCGACATCTGTAGTATGACGTTCGTCTCTCGTGATTGAAGTTGAACCATGCCTTGTCGTCGTGTGCGCAGGTTCTGGTTGTTGGCGACGGTGATGACAACTTCTCGTTGAAAATGATATTCTCGTTGAACGAAACGACCCGAAGAACACATATGTTGCCCGCAGCAGCTGTCTAAGAACCAAGTGTCTTTTCCGGACGGCTCGCTTTGAGCGATGGCTGCATATGTCGGGTTCGGTTGAAGTGACTCGCGGCGAGGGGTACTGTTGTCGAGTTGCTCTTCCGGTGAGTAATGCAGTGGTGACTCGGTGATGCACGAGTCGGTCAAATTCGCCATGCAGCTGACAATGTTTCTTGCTCCTTGTGCAGATTGTGTTGGCGGTGCTGTTGAAGACTGCGGCTGGCTTGTGGGGTGCGCCTGTGTGGACGCTACCTGACTGCTTGAAGGGCGAAGTTGACGTTGTGGCGGCGTTGATTGCTGTCGATTCGAGCAGTGTGTGCATGGGTGCCCTGACGTCTTGCAGAGATGACAAAATGGAGGTACGAGTTTTGGTTGATGCCGGTTGTTGTTGTTGTTGTAGCGCCGTTGAGTGTGAAACGCAAATTCGGGTACTGGCGTTTTCTTCTTGTGCCGCTCCTCTTGCAGGTCCATGTCTTGCTGCTCAGCGTGAATTTCGGCGCAAAGTGCTGCTTCGGAGATCTTCCCGTGAGCTCAGAGTATGGCGCGAGTGGAGCGCCTGTGAGGACCAAGGTCTCCAATAACAACTGTGACGAAGGCGTCTTCCGATATCGACCCTCTACAGCGAAGGAGTTTGTCGCGCAATTCGCGACAACGACTGATATACGCCATCCCCTTTTCGCCCGGTTTCATTTCCACTGTTATCAGTTGTGCCATTAACCGACTCTGATTGACGCTGTCTGTTGCCTAATACAGGTTCTTCAAGTGGTTGTACACGAGCTCGGCGGAGTTCCCGTATCCCCGGTAAGACCGAATGTTCTGCTGCTGATTTGGAGTTATGTTCCTCAGTAGGATTGTATATGCCATCATTGACTGATATGTGTACTGCTGCTTATTGTATTGCGTCCCGTGTGTTGGATATGGCAGGGACCCTTCGATGAATCCAAGGATCTGCGCGCCTTCCATCATCAGCTCTAATTCAAAAGACCAGGTAAAGAAGTCTTTTCCGTCGAATGTTCTTGACGTCTGCAACTTTAAGACGTGCGCGAATTGTGACTGAACTTGAAGTGCGTCCAGTGTACTTTCTTGTCCAGGTGAAGGTTGTTGACGCAGCATGAAGCTGATGGAGCCGCGCTGGGGCTCGTACGGAGCAAAGGTAGGCTGCTGCTGCTGATTTCCGCGCGCGTAGGATGAGCCGTCGAGACTCATGGGCATCACGTCGTTGTTGTTGTTGCTAATATTTGACTGCGCAGGTGCTGATTGCTGGTGTTGCTCGTAGAATGACATGAAGGAGAAGAATTTCTCCATCATGCTTGGGTCGAAGGCTGCAGGTTGATTCGCATGAGTTTCAGTGGACCCTGCTGCTGGTCTTGTTGCCGTGCCCTCCTCTGTCTGTAAGCCAGAGACAGGAGGTGGAGTAGGAGTAGTGCCGGGAGAGCCATTAGAGGAGCTTCTCTCCTTCTGCGTAGCCATGCCTTCTGATGTTGTAGGTGACGTTGGAATAGTTGAGTTTGCCCTGACCGCTCTGATACCATGTTGGGCTGAAAGAAAAGCCCTTAGGATCTTTGCAGGGCTAAACTCTGGGTAAGAACAATGTAATAACGGAAGCGTTAATAATAATTTTTGAACCACCTTGCGCTGGTATGTGAGGGCAAAGTAGTTTGATAAATCAAAGAGATACAATGTTTTTATACGAGTACAGGAAATATGAAGAGATGCAACTAATAACTGTTTTACTGTTGCTGTTGCGATTCGATACAGTGACGACTCGGGCAACAGCTCAATAACGAGTCAGTTGATTGTCCTTGCTGTCGTGCTGTACTTGTCAAGTCAAAGGTCAGCGACCTTTGACTTTCGCGCAACCTCCAGCGGTTTCTTCACTTCTCAACCTCCAAGTGTTGACTCGCCGATGCTTCGCTGTACTTCGCCTCGTTTACGACTTAGTGTTTCGGTACACAATAGAAGTGTTCAAATTACGGTACTTGTTTCCAACAACCCCTTCTAGGAAAATCCGTCCCGCAGTGCTTGCACAGAAGGCCCTAACTGCTCATGCGCCAACAGAACGCAGCCCACATATAGGTAGAACACTCTAGCCCAGCAACCGACTTTATTGAAGCATTACATGACATTGATTGTTTTGAGCCGCCTTGAAATCACTCTGTTTAGAAACATGCATAAAAAAGAAAATACTCAAGCAGTTGAGTGGTCCTACCTACCACTTCACCATTCTACAGTAGGCACGATGTCAAAAGGGCAGTGCATGTTTATGATCACCTGGCCAGCTCAGGAAACGCCCCTGACAATGCATCCTTGATCTCTCCCCATTCCTCCATCATCTCCTCATCATAAGCCTCGGAATTCTCGGGCGGCGTAGAAAACGTGCCGAGCTTGCTGCGCCAGAAGTCATCACGGAAGGTGAGGAAGTTGAAGAGCTGCTCCACCTCCAACACCTCCCACGGGCGCAGCCCCGGGATGCGCTCCGCCAGCTTCTTCCTGCACAAGGGTGGCAGTGAGGAATAGGGAAGAAAGAATGGGAAATGAATGGTGAGGGATGAGGAAGCTGAACCAGCTGCTCCACCTCCACCACCTCGCACAGGCGCAGCCTTGAAATGCGCTGCGCCAGCGCATGTGGAACGGGGGATTTAGGGGATTGGGAAACGGAACAGGGATGACGAAAATAAGGATTGGGGAATGGGGAATCGATAATGGGCATGAGTAATGCATATGCATGGTAAGGGCGTATTCCTATCCTCCTATCAATCTGACCTCCTATCAAGCTCACACTGAAAAATCCCCTAAACCCAAAACCTCTCGCTTCTTTTCCCAGGCAAAAGTACAATCTTGATAGGAGGTGGCCTTGATAGGAGGCTGTAGGAATACGCCCTGAGGGATGTGCTATGGCATGAAGCAGCGCCTCCTGCATGGGTAAAGATCTGAAAGGTGCTGCGTACCTCACAGTTCTGAGACGTCTCAAAACGAGATGTGCTATGGCATGAAGCAGCGCCTCCTGCATGGGTAAAGGTGCTGTGTACCTCACAGTCTCGTGCTGTGTGGGCCTTTTAGGTCGACTCAAAAACCGTCAGTCTCACTCACCTTTGCTCGTAGGAGATGAACTTGCTGGGAAACTTCTTGGGCTTCTGGTCCAGCACCTTAGTCAGCTCGCTCCCACTAGCCCACAGGAAGAGAGCGTGCGAGGGGGCCTGGTTGCCCGGCCACGCTCCCCCGTGGTTCTTCAAGGCAGCGTGCTCCCGCTCCTTGTCTGCCAGGGCCTCTGCCTGGCGCTCCTCCAGCGACCTCTTGCTGCCCTCGAAGCCCTTCTTCACCTTGAGCGGGTTCATGCCCCTCCCGATGCGGTGCAGCATGGCCGTGCCTGCCGTGGCCAGGCGCACTGGCAGGTTGGTAAGCAGAAGCAGAAGCAGCAGCAGCAGCAGCAGTGGGGGGTGGAGGGAAACGGGGAAACAGAGGGTGAAAAGGGGTGGGGTACAGGGTAATGGGGTTACTGCTCGTCTAGGGTGGAGCAGTGCAGTGCAGCACGCTCCCGCTCCTTGTCTGCCAGGGCCTCTGCCTGGCGCTCCTCCAGCGACCTCTTGCTGCCCTCGAAGCCCTTTTTGACCTTGAGCGGGTTCATGCCCCTCCCGATGCGGTGCAGCATGGCCGTGCCTGCCGTGGCCAGGCGCACTAGGAAGGAGTGTGAAGGAGTGAGAGGGAGTGGAAGGAGTATGAAGGAGTGGGCAGGAGTGCGACGGAGTGGGAAGGAGTGGGGGAGTCCGAGGACAGGGCGATGTCAGGAGGGAAGGGAGTGGGGGTGAGAAGATGTGATGCAGCATAGCCGTGCCTGCTGTGGCCAGGCGCACTGGCATGGTGGGCGAAGAGGAGGAGAAGAGAGGGGGAGGAGTGGATACGCCTCATGCCGTGTGCTGTGCCCCACTCACTCACCATCAGGCGTATCAATGGCCTGCTTCAGCCCATACACGGCATCAATGGGGGCAAACTCGTCCATGTCATCGCCCCACACGAAGGTGTTGCCGTCAATGATCCCCGCGGCCCATGCCGTGCGCAGGTTGATCACCTCGCAGGGCCCCCGTGTGCGACCCAGGCGGTCCTTGTAATACCACGTGCTGCCACGCAGGGTGACTGGGAGAGGAAAGTTGGAGGAAGGAAAGAAAGGGTTTGGCATATAACAACCATTCACCGTGCAGGGGCCCCGCGTGCGACCCAGGTGGTCCTTGTAGTACCACGTGCTGCCACGCAGGGTGACTGGGAGATGTGGAAGGGGGAAGGGACAACAGGGGAAGTGGAGAGGTGGGGTGTGCAGGTGGGTTGGAGTTGGCGTATGAAAGCGAGTCACCTCGCACTGCACTGCACTACACCGCACTGCACTGTTCCCAATAACTCACAATCGAGGTATCTCTTCTCGAGGAACTTGGTGCCGACGACCTGCTGGATGTCAAAGGGCTTCTCGGCGGGGTAGAGGCGCTGCTGGCAGCCCCACAAGCCGAAGAACCACAACACCTCCCCCCGCACTGCACTGCACCGCACTCTACCGCACTGCACTGCACAACACTCTACCGCACTGCACTGCACCGCTCTACCGCACTGCACTGCACCGCTCTACCGCACTGCACTGCACCGCTCTACCGCACTGCACTGCACCGCTCTACACCACACTGCACTGCTCCCAATAACTCACAGTCGAGGTATCTCTTCTCGAGGAACTTGGTGCCGACGACTTGCTGGATATCAAAGGGCTTCTCAGCGGGGTAGGGGCGCTGCTGGTAGCCCCAGAGGCCGAAGTGGAAGGTCTTGAAGAAGTCGAGAAACACGTTGCCCGCCTTCTCCTTGTTGCCCGCCAGGCCTAGACGCACCAGCTTGCCCGTGCCAAAGGGAGCTGATGGGAGGGAGGAGAGCGGGGGTCACAAGGGGGGAGAAGAGGAGAAAGATAGGTGTGAGGGGGTGGGAATTAGTGCCTATTCAATTTGCCCCGTAGGCCCAGCCGCACCGCACCAGCTTGCGGGTGTCAAATGACGCTGCTGGTAGCCCCACAGGCCGAAGTGGAATGTCTTGAAGAAGTCGAGAAACACGTTGCCCGCCTTCCCCTTGTTGCCCGCTAAGCCAAGACGCACCAGCTTGCCCATGCCAAAGGGAGCTGGGAGGAGGGGGAGCGGAGAGAGAGGGGGAGGGGAAAGAGGCGAAAGATGGGTGAGAGGAGTGGAAGGAAGAGAAGGAAACACGTTGCCAGCCTTCTCCTTGTTACCCGCCCGTCCTAGACGAACCAGCTTGCCTGTGCCGAAGGGGGCTGATGGGAGGGCGAAGAGCGCAGGGGAGAAAAGGTGGGGGGGGATTAGGGAAAGGGAAGAAACGCGGTGCTGCTGGTAGCCCCAGAGGCCGAAGTGGAATGTCTTGAAGAAGTCGAGAAACACGTTGCCCGCCTTCCCCTTATTGCCCGCTAAGCCCGGCCGCACCAGCCTGCCCGTGCCGAAAGGAGCTGGTGGGAGGGAGAGCAGGTGTGGGGTTGGGGAGGGGGAAGGGAAAGAGGAGAAAGATGGGTGTGAGGGGTGAGGGGAAGGGAACGAAACACGTTGCCCGCCTTCTCCTTGTTGCCCGCTAAGCCCGGCCGCACCAGCCTGCCCGTGCTGAAAGGAGCTGGGACGGAGGAAGAAGACGGTGGCGGCGCAGCGGCGCAGAGGCGCAGAGGCGCAGAGTGCCGGCGGATCTCCTCTCCTTGTCATGACTCCGCAACCAACCAAGCAGGACATACCCGCATTATCGACCTTTCTTCCTCACCCGGAATGAGAAGCATCTTCTTCCAGAGCCCCTTGTCCTTCGCGTGCAACTGCGCAGAGTGCCACCAGCATGCTTCGCAGCCTACCATCACATCACCTGCTACCACCTACCATCACCTGCTACCACCTACCATCATCTGCTACCACCTACCATCACCTGCTACCACCTACCATCACCTGCTACCACCTACCATCACCTGCTACCACCTACCATCACCTGCTACCACCTACCATGACCCACACGCCTAAGAACCGCCGCGTACCGGGAATGAGGCGGCATCTTCTTCCAGAGCCCCTTGTCCTCCGCGTGCAGCGGCGCCGAGCGTCTGGTTACCCTGTTACCACCAAAACTACCACATACCAGTAATGAGCGGCATCTTCTTCCAGAGCCCCTTGTCCTCCGCGTGCGCGGAGTGCCACCAGCACGTTCTGAAGCCTCCCACTGCCTGTTACCACCCACCATGATTATTCACTTGCCTACCCCCCACAACGTAGGAGGACCCACACGACCCGCGTACCGGGAATGAGCGGCATTTTCTTCCAGAGCCCCTTGTCCTCCGCGTGCAGCGGAGTCCAGCCTAGCATCACCTGCTACCCCTACCATGACACACACACCCAACCCCTAGTCCCGTACCGGGAATGAGCGGCATCTTCTTCCAGAGCCCCTTGTCCTCCGCGTGCAGCGGCGCGGAGTGCCGGCGGATCTCCTCCTCCTGCTGCCGCCTCGCTAGCTCCTCCGACTTGAGCAGAAACTGCGTCATGCGGCTGTTGGCCACCTTCTGGTACAGCTGTGGCGGAGAGAACGAAGGAACGGTCGGAGGGGGGAGGGGGGAGGGGGGAGGGTGGGTTGGGAAGAGAGGGGAATGGGGGTAAACTGCATCATGCGGCTGTTGGCCACCTGCTGGTACAGCTGCGGTACGGAGAGAGGAAGACAAGGACAGGGTAGGACAGAGGAGGAAATGAGGGGAGGCACAGGAGGTAGATGAAGGAGGGGTGGGGAGAGAAGGGCGCAGAACTGAAAAGGTCCATGAGAAGATGCACAAAACCCGTGTCGACAAATTAAGCCTTATACCAGTCGCAATGACCATCGGTCGTTCAACTAAGAAGCAATTCTCCAAAGCGATCCTGATTCGGCGCATTGTCATAAGAATGACACGGAACTCTGGCGAAGGAACCTCCAGCACGAATCTCGGATGTGCAGCTCGGTATAGAGTCAGTGATGTGTTTTGAGTCGACTCAAAACACGATCCTCGCGAAGAGATTTTCTGCACGAATCTCGGACGTGCAGCTCGGTGTAGAGTCAGGGTTGCTGACGTACTATCCTATCCACCAATAATCACCCATGCGCTAGGTATTGCCGGAGGTGCCTCTTGAGCCAGAGTAACTGCCAACTTTGTAAATCCATCTACGATCACCCACGCGTAAAAAAATGCCTCGTTCTCAACAGGCTCTCGTCGTATCGCTCTTGAGTTAACCTCAGCGTCGTCGTCGTTATCCTGTCATTCAGCACGTAGGTGTAACTTTCAAAAACCTCAGAAGCACTTACTCAGGAACATTCTGCCTTCACCATCCAAGGCTAGGAGTGAGCGTTAGTGACATTAGCGCGACCGACAGCGCGTCATTAGGGTACGCTAGGCCGTGAGAACGACTATTTGCAGTCTATTCCTCTCTCCCCGCACCTAATCCAGCGTCATTTCCTCCCCACCACCATTTCCTCCTCTGCAACTGGCCATATCTGCCTGTCGTACCTTCTTGTTCGCGGCTAGCTCCTTCGACGTCGCTGGTCCCTTGCGAACATATTTCGGCTGCTCCGAATCGTCGATCTCGACAGGATCGTTTCGCCGCTCCCATTTCTGCATCAGATCGGCGGCTAGTTGCTGGTTGGCTGCCGCTTCAGTCGCTGCTGCTGACGTGGCAGCAGGCGCAGAGGCAGCTGCGCCTTTCTTTGCGGGAGCCGGTTTGGCCATGACTCGGAGGATCACTAGCCTCGGGTCGAGAAGTTTATTAACAGAGTTGAAGTTAGAAATCGACTGCTAGAACCAGGTTCTGAACTTCTTTTCCAATCGATCTCCTCTACGCGGTACCTCTGGCTTGGGGGGTGAGGAAAACTTCAGACCAGAATATCAGTCCTGCCGTGTTCTAAGTGTTGGCGATTCAGCCGGTCAATGTGCGGAACGAAACCTCGACCTAGGACGAGGCAACTGAGTTTGCGGCGAGGCAACTCAGGAATGGTCCTGCTTAGTGTGCCTCAGACACTGAAGCCTATGATCCGAAGGCAATGGAGCCTGAGAGGAAACTGCAAGCCCTCGAAGGAATGTGAGGGGAGAGGGATTCTAGCTCGCCCAGAGAATCCCAAGGGAGTGCTGAGAAATGTTTGTCTCCCCCACCCCCAGGGACACCGTGAGTAAGAAAGGATGTGGTTTGGGCGATGTTTGGAGTGGATGTGGCAGCCACGTGTTTCCCTATCATTGACGAGACATCCACAACCCCGCCTTCCATCCAGGCAAATTCACTATCGATAGTGCTTGTGCTGAAAAATGTACACTTCGTCCTCAACCGCACTAAGTCACAATATTGTAGTTAGAAAATATCATTACACGATGTTATTATACTACTCTCTTATAGGTACGACATATTATAACATAATAATATTTTGTTCAGATTTCATAATGTATCTATTCTCACCATCATTTATGATGATTGTCACTGATTATATGAACCTTCTACAAGGTACACGTTCTAGCTGGCTGACAATATGCTTATCGAAACAGTAGTCATCATGTATGACGAAGTTGGTGGGAGATGGTCGGTGGGACCATATTGTTGAACCGTTTCTACTCTCGAGGATGGTTCGGCTTTGAGAGAAAAACTGCGTGGATAGTCCACCAACATACACTCTACACCGGCAGTTTGGTTGGAGTGTTGTGTTGGGTGTCGAATCTAGACAGACTGGCAGAACCGACAGAGGCGAGCTGGGCGCTTGGTCATTCGCCGTAATCAGCAGGTTGACGACGGTCACACCAATCGACGTCCAGGAAATGACGTTAGACGTGAAGCCGCTTGTGCTGGCGACTCAGCCCAAGCTGCTCGACGGTTTTGCTTCGAAACAGCATTGGTTGCGACTCCATTGTTTGTGGAGAAGAGTTTAGCCAACCAAACTGGTTCTGGGTTCAGACAGGTCAGGGAAACTTGTCTGCTTGTACTGGGGAAATTCGATTGGTTGAACTGTACCGAGTCGCATGTGAGTTTCATGACTGCGCATCTCTCCAAACTGGAGGAAGAAGTCGCACAAGCGACATGTACGAGCCTGTGCGAAAGCACCTGAGCCTCGGTGATGCGAGAGTTACAAATGAATGTCTACACCGCAAGCAACGGCCCCACCTGTGGTTATCGCCACCTTGCCATTCCGAGTCGCAGATTCCTTCTCAGATCAGTCGATCTCCACCACATCGGCGGCAGCAACCTTGCACCGTACCAGACAAGACAGCATGGCCCTCAAAATTCCTTCACATCATCACATCACATCAGCAGCCTCCCTCCACTTCAAATTTCTGATCAGGCTGTACAAAGCGGCGGCATCCCGCCTACCTCTTATGTGTAGCATCATCCTCGTCGGTTTTCAAAGCCTTTAGGTGTTTATTTCTGCAGAAACAGCTGGGCTCCAGTAAGGCTACTAAAACCTGGACAGGAAAACGCCTCTTAGCTGACGCCTGTGCCAAATTCATCCCGTCCCCCAGTGATCGTAGCCCCTGCCATATATATATTTTTTCCGGCAACTGGACTTACACAAGCAGCCCGAATTTTAGCGTGCTTTTCTCATCGCTCCTCTCGCTATCGCACTACGCTGAGTAACGATGGCGCAGAATAACCGCGCCTTCGCGCTCTTCTGTATTTCTCTTTTCCTCTGCACTTCCCTCTCGTCCGCCTTTTCCTCCCTTGGCGATCGTCGACTCACCTCACGCGAGCGAATCCTTCGCGACGGAGCGCTGCTTGCCGACCGAAGCCACTCCGTCATCTTCAAGAAAGGCTCATCGAGCGACAATTCCGTCAATTCTGCCGGCAGCGGAGCAGACACCCGACGTAATCTAAATGGCGGTCCGGTGACGTCGTTCGCGATTGCCAACGGCATCTCGCGGGGCAGTCTCATCCAGAGCGGCTTCGACGACGCCGCGAGCGATCGCTCCGAGTCGTCCAGCGATCGCTTTCAGTCGCATGGCGAACAATTCAGAGATCCGAGCGATCAGTTCGAGGCGCCTTCGCTCACCATTTTCTGCGCTCCGAAACCCTACTCATCCATCGTGGACCCCTCAGACCCAAACCCCGACTCGCAGCGGCGCGCTTTGCTCTCCTGGCTGCGCCTCTCCCCACCTCCGAAAGTCGTCCTTTTCGGCAACGACACGTCGTTCCACGAGCTCGCGCGTCGGTTTCCCGAGCAAATCTCCGTCGAGCCGCTGATCGACAGCAATTTCTACGGCGTGCCGCAGTTTCACAGCATGGTGGCGCGCGCTCAGGCCGCGTCGACCGACATTTCGATGATCATCAACGGCGATATCATCCTCCTAAATGACGTCATGCTCGCGTTGCAGAAGACGCACGGAACCTTCCAGCACTGGGTGATGACAGCGGCGCGGTGGGACATGCCGGGAGATTTCCCGTACTCGTTCGAGCCGCACATGTGGGGGCAGCGGGGGCTGGCTCGCGGGCGCAGCCACGCGGCGATGGAGGAAGAAATCCGCGGGTTTGTACGCGAAATAGGCACGCTGCACACGTACGGTGGGGTGGACTTTTGGGCGTGGAACAACGACTCACCCGCGCCGCTGTTCGACGGGGTTATGCCGCCGTTTTCGTTCGGGCGCGGGAAGTACGACAACTGGTTCACGCACGAGATCGTGGCGGCTGGGCGGCGGACCATGGTCGACGCCAGCGAGGCAGTCACGGCGATCCACGTGGCGCATTCTTACTCGCACGTGGTAGAATCAGCCTCGACCAAGAGCATCGGCGGGAAGGACGGAAACGGTAACGAAAACGGTAACGGAATAGCAGCAGGGAAGAACTTTTGGAGCACGCGAAAGAAGAGCAGCTGGGAGCTGTTCGGAAACATCCACATGGCCATGACACATGGTTCATACGCCAATCAGAAGGGCACCGCGCTGCACGTGCCCTGGAAGCTCGCCACGTGTCACGAGCCCTCCGTGCACAACATGTGCCTGCAGCAGCGCCTTCGCCCCGCCACGTGTAGCTGCGAATCCGCAAATTTCGTTAAATCCAGCCAGACCGACCCGAAGCTGGATAAGACGGGCAGGAAATGGACATGTGGCAGCGTGTCAGTGGACAGGAATTCGGATTACAGTATCCCCACTCTTCCTCCTCCTTCACCCGCCTCCTCCCCTGTAGGCCTCCCACACACCATGGAACAGCTACTGCCCACAATTGCTCGGAGCGTCCCAGACGGGCGGGGGGGGGAGCTACAGGTGGTAACCCTAGTGGCGGTAACCGCGGGGTACGCGGAGATGCTGATGAGCTTCGTGTGCCGCCTGCGCTCCCTCGGCCTCGCCTCCAACCTCCTCGTTGCCGCGCTGGACGAGGACTTGTACCGATTCGCCTTCACTCAGGGCCTGCCCGTGTACTATGAGCAAGTCAGCCAAGGACTGAAGGGGGTGGATTCAAAGGACTGTGCCTTTGGCAGCCAGTGCTTCAGGCAGTTCACTAAGCTGAAATCGCGGGCTGTGCTTCGGGTGCTCAAGGCGGGGTATTCTGTGCTCTGGACAGACGTCGACATTGTCTGGTTCACCGATCCTCTCCCGGACCTGCTCTCGTATGGCCCGGAAACTTTCCCGATCCAGAGCAATGAGCCAAACGTGACTCTGCCTGGGACTGGCATTCGGCGAATTAATTCTGGGTTTTACTTCGCTCGGGCAGATAAAAAGACGGTGGCGGCATTTGAGGCGATCACTGCGCATGCAGCCACTACGAGACTGTCAGAGCAGCCGAGTTTCTATGATATCCTGTGCGGGGTGAAGGGTGAGAATGTCGTGGAAGGGAAGGAGGAGTGTGTGTGGAAAAACGGCCTTCGCACTATCTTCCTTGATAGGGTGGTGTATGCGAATGGTGCTGCGCATGGGTTTTGGGACGAGGAGGATGTGGAGGGGGCCTGCAGGAGAAAGGGGTGCACTATTTTACACAACAACTGGATTGCTGGGAAGGATGCCAAGAAGCAGCGGTTTGTGGTGAACTCGTTCTGGCACTATGATGCCGAGAAGAGAATGTGCATGTGGAGATGGCACAGTGGCGCATCTCACAAAGTAGCTGCGGGGAGCAGAATCTCAGCCATGAAATAAGCGAGTTGCTAAAATCTAACAGGTCCTGTTGTGTTAGTGAATTTGTATATTAGCATTACTACCAGGTCCTGTTGTATCACAACCATTCTACTTGTATTATAGAATGACACTTCCCCAATTCCTCAGCGTATCGAGGCCACTTACATGATGGTGCCAGTGAAACCAGCCAGCCCAGGTTTGCCTCACTTCGCCTATGGATGCCATCAGGCAACGTGGTCAGGTTGGACGAAACATTTTTCGCTGAATTCGCACACTGTGATTGGTGCTGCTAGGCAAAGCCAGCCTGCCCACCACACGCAAACACGATATCCATAGCAACCCCAACATGACCACCCGCGTTCTCTTGACCTAAAGCTTTCGCCAAGTAACCACAAGCAGCGAAGTTCTAGCCACGCAGAGATATCGTGGAGCAGAGTCGTTAGGAGAACAAATTGCTTTCTAGTTCGTTCGCGTTGATTCGTTACTCGTTGTCGTCAACAGAATTTCGTTGAGCTTATCCCACACCTTTCGGATCGCGCCTCGTGCAATGCTTTTATTCCCCGCCGTCAAACTAGATTGCTGGTTGCCCCTCTCTTAGGTAACACAGGAGTCAGTCATTACGGCTATCCTTATGCTTTGTGCTGGAGCCCAATAAGTACCTTTGAATATCCACATTCTCTCATTCGTCGGTCCCTGTCAGAAATTTAACCTATGTCAATCGACATCATAAGTGGTATAACTCGCCACACAGAAGGCTGCTGTCCAACCTCCTCCTACAGAATTCGAAGCGCAGGCCGCACGGTCACTTACTACCTTCCGTCCCTTCCCTTCATTTCTAAAAAAAGGGCAGTAAGCAGCATTCAAAATGGGCGGAAACGCGCCCCACAAATTCTTAATCCTAGCAGCAGTCACCCTTGCTGTCACAATGGTGTTAATCACTTTCCTCCTTCCTGTCGCGACCGCCGCGGTTAACAAGCACTCTCAATACAAGCACATTCAACAACGGCAAGCGCAGCAGGAAGGGCAGCAGCGGCAGCGCCCTTTCCTCACCATCTTCACCGCGCCCAAGCCCTACACGTCCATCCTCGACCCGTCCTCCCCGCACGCCGACCCGCAGCGGCGCGCGCTGCTCTCGTGGCTGCGCCTCCGCCCGTCCCCCAAGATCGTCCTGCTGGGGAACGACTCTTCTTTCCACGCGCTCGCGCGGCAGTTCCCCGCGCACGTAACGGTCGAATCGTCCATCGATACGAATTTCTACGGCGTGCCGCAGGTTCACAGCGTCGTCGCGCGCGCTCAAGCCGCGGACACGCCCGTCTCGATGGTGATCAACGCGGATATTATTCTAATGAATGACGTCATGGCTGCGATGCGGAAGGTTCACGAGAACTTTCGCCACTGGGTGATGACCGCGGCGCGGTGGGACATGCCCGAGGAGTTTCCGTACTCGTTCGAGCGGGAAATGTGGGCGGGGCGAGGACACCGGGAACATGAAACGACGATTCGCGAATTCGTACGTACGCACGGGACGCTGCACACGTACGGCGGGGTCGACTTCTGGGCGTGGAACAACGACGACCGTACGCCGGTTCCGCTGGTGAGAGGAACCGTACCGCCGTTTTCGTACGGCCGCGGCAAGTACGACAACTGGCTGACGCACGAGATCATCTCGTCCGGATTACGCGAAATCGTCGACGCCAGCGAGTCCGTTACAGCCGTACACGTGGCGCACTCCTATTCCCACGTGATGGAGTCGGCGTTCACGAAAAACGCGGCGGGATTGGCGGGAAAGAGCTTCTGGAGCACGAGGATGAACAGTAGCTGGGAGCTTTTCGCGAATATCCACCTGGCGCATACACACGGGACGTACGCCAATCAGAAAGGGACACCTCTGCACGTGCCTATCAAGCTGATGAACTGCCTAGAAGCTTCGGGTGAGTGTATTACTCCTTTTTGTAAATCTATCAGTTCCCTCCGCTGAGTAGATTGATCAGTCCATTGAACTCATCTCCTCCGCTGTTGCCGCCTCTCAGACGGAAATCCCCCCTGAACTCTCTTTCCTGGTGCCCCTTCCGCCCTTGCATCCCCTGCCGTTTCCCCCCCTTCCCCCGCCTCCCCCCCAGCCAACTTCCTGTGTCTGCAGCGCCGCCTGCGCCCGGCCGTGTGCTCCTGCGAGTATTCCTCCGCCGTCGCCGCCTCTCAGACGGAACCCCGCCTGAACTCTTACCCCTGACATCCCTTTCCCCCTTGCCTCCCCTCTCCCGCCTCCCCCCAGCCAACTTCCTGTGTCTGCAGCGCCGCCTGCGCCCAGCAGCGTGCTCCTGCGAGTATTCCTCCGCCGTCGCCGCCTCTCAGACGGACCCCCGCATGAACGCAAAGACGAACCAGTGGACGTGCGGCTCCGTGGCCCCTGCCAACGCCACTGACTACACCATCCACGCCATCCCACACAGCGCTCTTGACTCTTCCAATACCAGCAGTGGTGGTAACAGCAGCAGTAACAGCAGCGGCAACAGCAGCGGTAACAGCACCGGTGGCAGCAGCAGCAGCAGCAGCAGCAGCGATGCAGGAGCTTCAACCAACTCTTCCTCCCCATCCGCCTCTCCCGTCGGCCTCCCACACACCATGGAGCAGTTACTACCAGTGCTTGCCCGCAGGGTCCCCGATGGGCGGGGGGGAGAGTTACAGGTGGTAACCCTAGTGGCGGTAACCGCGGGGTACGCGGAGATGCTGATGAGCTTCGTGTGCCGCCTGCGCTCCCTCGGCCTCGCCTCCAACCTCCTCGTTGCCGCGCTTGACGAGGACTTGTACCGATTCGCCTTCACTCAGGGCCTGCCCGTGTACTATGAGCAGGCAAGTGAGGAGGTGAAGCACATGCGCGCCTCAGAGTGTGGTTACGGCAGCCAGTGCTTCCGCCACTTCACCAAGCTCAAGTCTCGCTCCGTGCTCAAAGTCCTCAATGCCGGCTACTCTGTTCTCTGGACAGACGTAGACATTGTCTGGTTCACCGACCCTCTCCCGGACCTGCTCTCGTTCGGCCCGGGAACGCTGCCGATCCAGAGCAACGAGCCGGACGCGAATCTTCCCGGAACTGGCGTTCGGAGGATCAACTCAGGGTTTTATTTCGCCCGAGCAGACCGGAAAACGGTCGAGGCGTTTGAGGCGATCACTGCGCACGCAGCAGCAACGAAATTGTCTGAACAGCCAAGCTTCTATGATGTTCTCTGTGGGGAGGCAGGCGAGCTAGTAGCCGCAGGGAGGGAGGAGTGCGTATGGAAAAATGGGCTGCGAACGGTCTTTCTCGACAGAGCTAGGTACCCTAACGGGGCTGTTCACGGGTTGTGGGAGCAGAAAAATGTTCACAGGGCGTGTGCAAAGGTGGGGTGCTCCATTCTGCATAATAACTGGATATCTGGGAGGGAGGAGAAGATGAGGCGGTTTTTGGCAAACGACATGTGGCATTATGATGCAGACAGGCGCATGTGCGTGTGGGAGTGGCATGGGAAGGTTCCGGAACTGGTGAGGCAAGTGGGAGGAGAGGGGGGTGGAGGAGAGCTAAATGGGGGGGCTGTTGGGAAAGGGCAAAGGAGAGGTAATGGGAAGGGAATTGAGAACAAGAGGCTCCACCAAAAGCAATCGACGTAATAGAGGGGAAGTAGTATCATGCGTGAAGTAGTACCGTGTATGCTCTCTCAGCGTAGTAGCATACCTACCAGTATTGCATGCTGGGTCACCCTTCATGGTTTGATTCTTCAGCCCTACCGTATGTTGGTTCAGCTCCTTTTTCAGCCTTTCTCCTTGAAGAAAAGGCCATTATCAGCCTCTTTAGAGGGATGACTCTGATTCAGTGACATTGTACGCATGTGCCATTTTTTTTGCTACCTTGGTGTGGTATGGGGTGTGTGGTGTGGGCCCACCTTGAAATAATGCTGCACACACACATTAAACCACTCTCAAAACATGTATTGGAATGGATTCACCATATGGTATTACCTCTAATCAAAACATAGTTTTCTGGTTTAGCACGGTGCCAACATGAAAACTAGTCTCACTGAACTACGGTAAGTGAAGCAAAATCAGTACACCTGCCACAACATGGCTGTCAGCTATTGCAAGCCCTGGACACACTCATAGCGTCCATCTTGGGCAAACTAAGAACAGGTTACCCTGAGCAATATTAGCAGAAATCAAAGGAGATCAGGGAAAACCTCAACCCTAACTAGCTACCTTATCCTGGCACGATCAGGACCCAGGACACACCGGCAAATAAAAAACACCTTGCAAGATACCGCAACCCGAGGATCTGAGGGGGTGGAGCCTCCACATTAGCCTGCGATTTTTAACTGATTCGCTTCCAAAACGGAGTTATTCTTCAGCCCAATCACTTCCACCGTGTCCTTCCCTTGCGCGCGCTTGCCATGGAACGTGAAGATCAGAGAACCAGGTGTAGCACCGACCTTTTTTTCGTACGCGTCAAATACTTTCTGCATCCGAGCGCCTTTTTTCACCTTATACTGCACCTCCTCCCCTTTATCGCTGACGATTTTAATAAAGATGGACTCGGTTTCTGGAGTTGGTGCGACCTCTTCCACCTGATCAGTGGCATCGACGGTACTTCTAGTCGGTGTCGAGGCGGCATCACTAGCAGCAGAACGACCACGCCGAGTGGCCATGCCGAGCCAAAGTTCTGCTAGAAACGGAGAAGAATGCTATACTAGACCAAGCGCTCGCCACGTGGCGATTAAAAACATAAAATGCTGTGGCGCAGCAACACTGACAAGATAATAGGACGGAAAACAATAAGTCAAGCGCGACGGACAAGTTAGGAACAGCCAGTACTACTGCTACTTAGTTGCGCCTACGAGAGTCAACACGAAAAAGTCGAGCGAAACCAGGGTGTGGGAGGAATACAGTACAGGCTTGGGCTTGCCAAGTTTGAGTTGCTCGCCTCCGGGAAGTGCGCGATATGCATCCTTGGAACGGATGGGATCTGCAGTTACGCTATACGAGGGCCATCGCAAAATCTGGTTTTGATACAAACAGATTCTTTCCTGTTTCTGAGACTAACAAGTAAACGCCGAGGAAATGAGTGACAATATTTTCATTGATATAACAGTACCTTGCTGATTGCCTTTCCTTCTGGCCAACACTGGTGCATAGGTCCAGTCAACCAGAAAACATTTTGTTCAGTAAATCATCCCATTTCTTCATTCATCATCATCAGAATCAAATGTAATCTTGGTGGCCTTCTTAGTGACTTGAGAAATATCCTTGAAGTGTGCACCGTACAGCTTGGACTCCTGCCCAAGGACAACAACAAACACATCAGCTTTGGGATCGCAAGCGACGGGACAGGATGGAGCGGGCAGCGCAAGCACACTTGGACATGTCACCTTCGCACACAAAAGATGTGTGCCGCAAGGGAAGTGAATAACTTCACTTCAAACATTTTTATTGAACACATGTCCAAGTTTGCAGCATGATCACCTTTTTCTTGACAGAGAGGTCAAACTTGAAGAGACCTTCGGGCACTGGTTGATTGGCTTGCCGCAGCACATTCACTAACTCGCCTGCTCGTGCCTGTAAAGAAGGGTAGTGTAACAAAGCGGATTGGCACAAGATAAATGCTGGAAATTGATACATCGGAAACGAAGACTGCATGTGATCGTAACAACCAAGGTAACTCATAAGTCAGACTCGCCTCTATGTGACTGCAGTGGATGAAAGCAGATTGGCTATGCCTTACATGTGCTTATACGCCCTTATCCTCCCCAGTGACACAGTATGTGAGCTATGCCCTTGTTGCCCAGCAGCACTTCCACAGTCCCTCCTCCCCATACCACACCCCACCACACTACACCGCACCCCACCTTATCCTCTGAGGTGAAGAGTGTGTGCGCGATGCCCTTGTTGCCTGCCCTGCCCGTGCGCCCGATTCGATGCACGTAGTCCTCGGTGGTGAGGGGGAAGGTGCAGTTGATGACCACCCTGAGAGAGAGATAGAGAGAAGGGCATGGAAGAGGGGGATAGAAGATGGGGATACAGGGTGCAGAGCAATCAATAGCCGCTGCAGGTGATTCGATGCACATAGTCCTCGGTGGTGAGGGGGAAGGTGCAGTTGATGATCACCCTGGGAGAGAGCGAGAGAGAGGGGCATATAAGGTGGTGATAGGAAAATCAAAAGCCGTTCCGCGTGATTCGATGCACGTGGTCCTCGGTGGCGAGGGGGAAGGACAAGTCTCATGGGAGAGAGAGTTTTGAGGCGTCTCAACAGTCATATTTTTGTTGTCAGCTCATAAGGAGATTCGACGCACATAGTCCTCCGTGGGAAAGAGAGAGCAGGTGTGGGGAGAACACGGAAGCACAGGTATTGCCGGTTCTCACACCCTGATAACATGGGGGAAATGTCAACAATATGGTATATTGGGGAAAAGAAAATATACATATACTCCTCCCATCCCATCCCATCCCATCCATCGTCTCCCACAATCATATCCCCCATGCAGCACAGGCCCTCATGGGTTGTGTTGAGTAACTCACTCAACGTTGGGAATGTCAAGCCCTCTCGCTGCCACGTCTGTAGCGACCTGGTGTAAGGGAGATGGATTGGGGAGAGAGAGAGGGGGGCGAGAAGAAATGCGGAGAGAGGGAGGGGGGAGAGAGGAAAGGCAGAGAGATAAGTGTGCATGGTTGAACGGGTGCAAGGGTGGGAAGAAAGGGAGGGCGGCGGGATGAAAGGGGAGACACTGGTGTGTTCCTTGTTACATCCTTGTGTGCATGAGTGCATATGAGCGGCAACAAGTGTGTGTGCGTGCATGTGTGTGTGTGTGTGCGCGAGCGCGCGCGTGTGAGAGTGTGTGTGTGTGCATGTGAGCATGGGACTATGCTCACCAGTACGGGAACAGCGCCGCTTTTGAAGTCATTGACTGCCTTGGTGCGCAGAGTCTGGTTCTTGTTGCCGTGGATTCCACTCACTTTGAACCCGCTGGGATGGACGAAGGAGAGGGGAGCAGAGGGGATTAGAAGGGAGCAGAGGGGAGCAGAGGGGAGCAGAGGGGGAGAAAATCGGTGGGGAGCAGGAGTGCACAGAGAGGGCAGGACAGGGAAGTAAGAGACGAGAGACGCATGACGGAGGGAGGACAGACAGAGTGTGGTTGTGTCAGTCCGAGGTAGGGATGAGCAATATGACGAACTCCTGTTCGGTTCGCCTCGAACGTGTTCGAGGCGAACCGAACAGGATTTTTTTTTGGCCTAAATTGTTCGGGGCGAACGTGTTCGGTGTTCGCCCGAACACGTTCGCCGTTCGCCCGGCTCAGCTCGCCGAGGCGCGTCGAACACGAACGTGTTCGTGTTCGACACGGGCCTTCGACAAACACCAATGTGTTCGTCGACAAATAGACCCGCGACCAATTTTTAGGTCGCGGGCCTTGGTGTTTGGGCTCAGATCTGGCCTTTCGCAGTTAGTAAAGTGCAGATCTAGCATTTTGCCATTGCTTAAGTGCAGATCGAGCATTTCGCCGTTGCTTAAGTGCGGATCAAGCATTTCGCCGTTGTTTAAGTGCGGATCGAGCATTTCGCCGTTGCTTAAGTGCGGATCGAGCATTTCGCCGTTGCTTAAGTGCAGATCTAGCATTTCGTCGTTGCTTAAGTGCGGATCTAGCATTTCGCCGCTGCTTAAGTGCGGATCTAGCATTTCGCCGTTGCACGCTGGCACTAGATGGATGAAGCAGGGCGGGACTGGCTTGGGAGGTGGGGGGAGAGAATGTGCGACGATTTGAATTTTACTGTATATTGAATTTCCCCCCTGGGCGAACACGAACATGTTCGCCACGAACATGTTCGTGTTCGCCTGTTGCAGCAATTCGTTCGCCTCCTAGGGCGAACGGCGAACACCTATTTTCACTCAAGTCGTTCGCCGAACCGAACACTGTTCGGTTCGGCAGAAGGCCATGTTCGTCAGGGGGCGAACACGAACATGTTCGAGTTCGCCCCCTGCTCATGCCTAGTCCGAGGTGACTTTTGTGTCGACTTATTAGGGAAGTAAGAGATGAGTTTTGAGTCGACTCAAAAGTCAGCTAGGACAGAGTGTGGTTGTGTCAGTCCGAGGTGACTTTTGGGTCGACTTATTAGGGAAGTGAGAGATGACTTTTGGGTCGACTTATTAGGGAAGTGAGAGATGACTTTTGGGTCGACTTATTAGGGAAGTGAGAGATGACTTTTGGGTCGACTTATTAGGGAAGTGAGAGATGACTTTTGGGTCGACTTATTAGGGAAGTGAGAGATGACTTTTGGGTCGACTTATTAGGGAAGTGAGAGATGACTTTTGGGTCGACTTATTAGGGAAGTGAGAGATGAGAGACGCATGCATGCACGAGGGAGGACAGAGAGGGTGCTCGTATGAGTTCTTGAGATTGGTTTGTCAAGCAGTGAGGGCAGTGAAGGGGGTGTGAGATGGAGTGTGCAGAAGGAGAGAGTGTGGGAGGGAGAGCGGGAGGGAGGGAGGGAGGGAGGGAGGGAGGGAGGGAGGGAGGGAGGGAGGGAGGGAGAGAGGGAGGGAGAGAGGGAGGGAGGGAGGGAGAGAGGTGGGCGGGCTGCGGGTGGGCGAGCGGGCGGGTGGGCGGGCGAGCAGGCAGACAGAGGGAGGAAACGTGAAGGCGAACTTACTGCGATGCCAGCAGCGCTTCAATACGCTCTGCCTCCACCTTGTAGAGCACGAACACGAGCACACGATTGCTGGGAGGGGGAAGGAGAGAGGGATGGTGGGTAGTGGATGAAGGGCAAATTATGGGCGGAAGTGGAAAGGAAAAAGGGTTGATACGTGCCGCCTCCACCTTGTAGAGAACAAACACGAGCACACGGTTCCTGGGAAGGTGGGGAGAGAGGGTGGGGGAAGAATGAAGATAAGAGAGGGAGGAAAAGTGAGGAGGGGGGTCGATGAAGGAGGACAAAGGATTGTCTCGATCCGTTCTGCCTCCACCCGGAGGACAAAGGATTGTCTCGATCCGTTCTGCCTCCACCCGGAGGACTAAGGATTGTCTCAATCCGTTCTGCGTCCACCCGGAGGACAAAGGATTGTCTCAATCCGTTCTGCCTCCACCCGGAGGACAAAGGATTGTCTCAATCCGTTCTGCCTCCGCCCGGAGGACAAAGGATTGTCTCGTGTAAAGCACAAACACGAGCACGCGGTTGCTGGGAGAGGGGGTGGGAGGAGGGGGGGGTGGGGTGGAGGCACAGGAAGAGAGGGGGAGGCGAAAGGGAAAGAGGAGCCAGAGAGGCAACGAAGGGAGGGAAGGTAAGATTGCTTCGAGTGCTTCTATAGAGCAAAAACTGAATAGGAGGGCAACGTATTCTACCTATAGGGAGAGCAGAGATCAATCACACACGAGCAGAGGTGGTTTCATTTCTGCCCTGTAAATCACAAACAGGATGGCTGGAGGGCTTTTCTCTAAACCCATGAGTGCATGCACACATGCACGCACACATGCACACAGCATATCCACCACCACCACCAAGGCATATGCTTATATGTGTGGGGATAGGGTTTTAATGGGGGGCAGCTCAGGAGCATTAAACGAGCAGCACAGCCTCCCTTACCCTTCACCAAGAGTGAAAGAGGGGGAAGGTTCAGACTCGGGAAATTGAGACGCATCTTTGCTGCCATCCCCAATGATGGGCTAATGTAATGGGATGGGATGGGATGATAATAAGATGTGAAGGGAAGGTGAAACGTGTAGAATACCAAGGGGTAGCAGCTCAGGAGCATTAAACGAGCAGCACTGCCTCCCCTACCCTTCACTAGCAGTGAAGAACGGGGGGAGGCTTCAGACTCGGGAAATTGAAAAGCATCTTTGCTGCCATCCCCATTGCATGGCGGGATAATTGTATGAGGAGAGGTATGTGTGAATGGATGACACAAACGCATGTATCATGTATATAACAACGTGGGCGTGGCCTAACAGGGTAGCAGCTCAGGAGCATTAATCGAGCATCACTGCCTCCCTTCTCTTCCACTAGAAGTGAAAGGAAGGAGGAGGTTCAGACTCGGGAAATTGAGATGCATCTTTGCTGCCTGCCATCCCCATTGCATGATGACATGGTGAGATATCGACACAAAGGCATGTATGCATGGATGGATGGATGGATGGATGGATGGATGGATGGATGGATGGATGGATGGATGGATGGATGGATGGATGGATGGATGGATGGATGGATGGATGGATGGATGTGTCTTAAAAGCATTGAACGAGGAACAGTCTCCTTGGTGTGGAAAGAAAGTCTTCAGAAAATCGAGGATTATGTGAAAAAAAAGGAGATCCTGAGCTGGGCCGTGGAAAATTCCACCCTGAGGGAGCGTTGTGCCAACAACAAAAAGCTCATATCTCTCTATTTAGAACGAAATCCGGTACATGCTTAATCAAATATATGAGCTTCTCGTTGCTGTCACACTGCTTATTCAGAATGGAGTTTTTCGAAGTCAAGCTCAGTATTGGCTCTTCCTTTCAAATCGCATTCATCCTCATTTTTCAAAGGCCTTTCTTTTCCCTACAATATGTAACTCATTATGGGGTATGTACAGCACGATAATCTCAAATAATAATTCTCTTCCCCACTACATACTCCCATCATTAACCGTTTCTCACGTTCGCCGACTGTACCTGAGGTACTTTTCAAGCAGCAGAATCAGCAGCTCGTTCTCATTCCTGCTCACCTCCTGGACTTGTGGTATTTCTCAAGCAGAGACACGAGCAGCTTGTTCTTCTGCCACGGCTCCACCACCTCCACTATCTGCGTCACATCATCGTTTGCTGACATGCCCCCCGTGCTCCTCCCCACCATCACCTGCCAAGCCATGCAATGTCATGCCATGTAATGTCATCGCAGATAGGCAAGTGCGAAAGAAAAATCAAAGTAAATCCATGATAAACTCAAATAACCCTTTCAATATCCATGTACAGTGTCCGAGTAACAAAGATAGGTTTACTTGTGGAGAATCAGGTGGCACATCCAAGAAATGCTTCAACTGAAGAATTGCGGAAGAGCTTACCTTGACAGGGTTCCTGAGGAAATCGCTGGCCAGCTTGGAGATTTCCGGCGGCCATGTGGCACTCAGCATGGCAGTCTGGCGGTCTGACACGTGGCACAAGAGCAGCAGGAAGAACGGGCATAGGGATTGTGGAGGTGGTGGGAAAATGGCCACGTGGCACAAACCTGAGGCATGAGGAGGACTATTGGCAAAACATTTAAGCTGAGTAAACGGTGCATGCTCGCATGATCGCATCACGCATCACACATCACGCATGCTCGCATCACGCATCACCTCCCTCCGTAAATACTCCCCCTCCCCTTTCCCCCCTGCCCCCATGTACTCCTTCTCTAGGGCGCATATACCCGCCTAAGCTTTCTAGCGTGTACTGTACACACGACTGACTCACCGGAAGGCGTGGCTTGGAGAATGGCGCGGATGTCGGGCTCGAATCCCATGTCGAGCATGCGGTCCGCCTCGTCCAACACCTGAGATTGGAGAAAGGAGGGAGGTACGTACGTGAGTCAAGAAAAGCACGCGAATCACGCACGTACTTCACACACGTGTTCAAGAGAATCAGGGTCATGTCACTTCCTCTAAGGACAGCTCCAGGCCATGGCGAGAGAGCACGTCTTTTGAGGCGCCTCAAAGGCGAGAGACCACGTCTTTAACGGCGCCTCAAAGGCGAGAGACCACGTGATCCGCCTCGTCCAGCACCTGACGTTGTTGCGAAGAGCCAAGCCGCACTTGACCAAGCTGCACGCCTTCACATCGTTCTGTACCGATCCTCACCACGAAGGATGCCGCCGCGAGGGAGATGGTGCCGTCCTGCATGTGGTCTTTAAGGCGCCCCGGCGTCGCCACCACCACACCCGGCGATTGCGCCAGAGCGGCCCGCTGACCGCCTTTCGACGCGCCGCCGAACACGCACACCACCCCCACGCCGCACCGCTTCCCCGCCGCCTCTAGCACCTCCGCGATCTGGCGGGGAAACGGGGAGGAAATAGCGGAATGTAAAAACAACTAGCGGACGCGGAGGAGAGGGAAGGAGTGCGCAAGGCTCACCGCGAATTCTTACTGCTTCAATTTCCCGTCCTCGAGATTTCCCCCACCTGTTGCGCGAGCTCGCGCGTTGGCGCAACGACCAGCATCGACGGCTGCGCGGACCCACGCTGCTTCCCCTTTCCACCTCCCCCCGCCTTGCGCACTTCGAGCACGTGCTTCAGCCCGGGCACTCCGAACGCGAGAGTCTTCCCCGAGCCTGTCGCCGCTACCGCGACCAAATCGCGCCCGCGCAGCAGCACGGGCCACGCCCAGCGCTGAATCGGGGAGGGGGACGCGAACGACGCGCACGCGGAGAGCAGATCCGCGGGGACTTGCGGCGCGGCTTCCGCGAACGTGGTCAGCGGGCGGAGAGGTTGGCACGCCGCGGAGGACGAATCGCCGCCGATCTCCAAACCTTCCACGCGGACGTCCACGTCAGCCCAGCTCTCGAGCTTCGCGTGGACTGGCGCGGAAGGAGCGGCGGGGGGTGAAGAGGCTCTGTCGGCGGAAGAATCAGGGGAAGCACTTGGCGAGGAGACGCCATCGGCGCGCCGCTTCTTCTTGCTTTTCTTCTCGCCTTTCGCGGGAGCCGCCGCAGCTGCCTCGGGGGCTTCGCCACTTAATTCCTCCTGTTTGCGTTTCTTCTCGGCTTTAAGTTTCTTCTCCTTTTTGGCCTTCTTCGCCTCTCGCTTGTCGTCCGCATTTCGCACTTCGATAACCGCGTCTCCCGTTAGAATCTCCGCGTTCTCCGTTTGAAGTTTCTTCCCCATGGCGGATTAAACCCTCGGACTGGGAACGGAACAAACGAGACAAGCGACGCGACGCGACGCGTTGCAGCAAGCTCACGCGCACGAGAGCACAGAGATACAGGGGCGAGAAGTGGGAAAACTTGGAAATTCTGACAGTGCACGGCTCCGTGCTCCGCTCTGGCAAGAGGGATGCACTGGAACAGTAAGCTATACCAACCAGAAAGGCTGGTTGGAGAAAGAGAATCAAAATGTGGTGGAGCAGCAGCTTTTGTTGTCGCTGGTAGCGTGAGAGGGAGAGGGTGGGGGAGAGGAGGGAAGCATGGAGAGGGAGGGAGGAAGGGATGAGTGAAGGCTGGGGAGGAGAAGATGGGAGGGGAGGAGAGGAATGAGGGTTGAGCTGTTGTGTGGTGGAGAAAACCCTAGCAACTGCCAGCGTTGCAGGTGTACAAGCAATGGTAGTTGGGAGATTTTTTTTAGAACGAGTTTGCACTATAACGATGCAAATACATTCACGGTCGTAACTGGAGGTTGGGAGATGGTGTACAGTAAAACTGTTTCGTAAGTTAAAACTTCGTTCCATATTTCAGGTGCTGGCAGGAAATGAGTATTTTCATAGCAGGGATTTGTACCCGTGGCGAGTTTTAGCTTGCTGTGCCCCACACGCGCGCGCGATACATGAAGCACTTCCACGTGGATATGCGGCTGCACTTACGGCGAATCCCCGAGAAGAAGAGCCTCATCCACTCCACGTGGCCGTGACCTTTCCACCTCATCTGCCGTCAGCTCCAATGTCACGTCAGGCGGCGCTGTCTCTTGAGAATACGAAGAGCCCAATTCCAACTGCTTACCGATGGTGAAAGTATTTCCCGCCTAGAGATTCCGAAGGCACAAGCACAGCACAGCCCACCATGGTCATGGAGAGTATCTCAGAAAGACTTTGCCAAGACAGATTCAAGGTGACATTTGCCATTTTAGTTACCGACAATCCTGCTTGGTGATAGGCCACCAGGGCCAGGTACCACCTGCGTCAGTGGTCTGCGTGTGGTGACTTTCATTGATATTACCGAGAAAGTCAAGCAATTCGTTCTAGGTTGACGTTTGGTTCTGCTCTCGAAACCGCAAGGCATAACATTGCTGAGGGGACTTTATTGGATCAGTGTGCAGACAAGACCGCTTCTTGAAGAATAAGAGGAGAATTAGAGGTTCTTGGTCTTGGATTTAGGAGACATAGGAGATTAAGTTTGATTTGTGCGATAGTTGACACCATGGCTGATTATTACGAGAACCGTCCTGTAGATGACGAGGACAAGGACGATGACGTGGATCCTGAGGTGGGCAACGCGGCTAAAGAGGACGCGGAGAAGCTGTCCGAGGGCCTGCCACGTGTCCTGATCGTGTCGCGACGGACGCTTCGCAAGAACAAGTTCGTCGATTTTGTAGGTAAGATGGGTTGCTGCTGCTATTGAGCTGAACGTACAGACATCCGCTTAGTCTCTTGGTTCTGGGAAGTCCAGGAACGAGAATATGAGACTCAGAGACACTTAAGCCCTTCGGACTTGACATATACGTTTCTCTCAGAACCTCATTAGAGTCACCAGCAACAGCATCGCTCACCAGAAAGCAACTTTCTGCCATGCCTTGTACGATTCGCCAAATCCGACTCACCCAAAGCTTCAGGCTGACGAGAAAGCAAATCTTTTTTCATCTGAAACCCCACCGTCCACCCCTCGTGTGCAGGTGAATGCCACCTCGATCTGATCGTCACATGCGGCGCGGTCCCCGTGAGTTTTGAGTCGACTCAAAACACATCTGGCGAGAAACCAATCGTTTTCTCATCTGAAACCAAACCACACCGTCCACCCCTCCGTGCGCAGGGGAATACCACCTCGATCTGATCGTCGCATACGGCGCGGTCCCCGTGATCGTGCCACGTGTCCCCGGCGTGGCGTCCCTGCTGGACGCGTTCGAGCCAATCCACGGCGTGCTGCTGTGCGAGGGAGAGGACATCGACCCCGAGCTCTACGACAGCCAGCTCACTGCTGACCTGTCACCCGAGGAAATCGCGGAGATCCGCGCCGCGCACGCCAGCGACACGGCGATCGACAAGGCCAAGGACTCAATTGAGCTGTCGCTCGCGCGGAGGTGCCTGGAGCGGTCCATTCCGTACCTCGGGATTTGCCGCGGGAGCCAAGTGCTGAACGTGGCGTCAGGGGGTTCCCTCTACCAGGTAAATCTTTAGGCCTAAAAAAAAGAAGTTCCTGGAGAGGTCGATTTCGTACCTCGGGATCTGCCGCGGGAGCCAAGTGCTGAACGTGGCTTCAGGAGGGTCCCTGTACCTGGTAATCCATCCATATCTCTCAGACCAGACGTATAATGAACCTGCCACGTGTAGAAAGTGTAGTTTTGAGACGTCTCAAAACTACACTTTCTACACCAGGTACTCCATCCATATCTTTCAGACCAGACGTATAATGGACCTGCTATTGTATCGCTTTCCAGATTCAATGCGCCTCTGGAGGGTTTAATTAGAGGCTAAGTCGAGCATTCGGGGGAAGGACATCTCTCTACCAGGTATTCAATCTCGCTGCATTCAGGCCCGTCCCAGGGGACACTGTCACAGGCACCGTTTGATTGGATTGGATAGTCACCAGATTCTCAAATATTAGTGACAGATACCCCACTTTTGTCTGCTCTTGCCCTTCGCTCCTTGTCCTCCCCGTCCTCCCCTGTCTCCCCTACCTCCCCGTCCCCCCCTGCCTTCTCTGTGTGCCTTGCCATCAGGACGTGGAGACAGAGGTCACATCGCGCAAGGGGCTCGACCTGAAGCACATCGACTACAATGACTATGGTGAGACACAGAACAGGAATGGTGAGTGTGTGTGATCGAGTGAGAGTGAGTGTGTGGGTGTGTGTGTGTGTGAAACGGAGGTCACATCGCGCAAGGGGCTCGACTTGAAGCACATCGACTACAGTGACTATGGTGAGAGCGAGAACACAACAGGGAAGAAATGGCAAGGGGTGTTTGGGTGTTGAGAAAGTGAGGTGAGGGCCTTCGTGTAGGAATCTGGAATTTTTCAAATGGAATGTTGAGGGTTTTTCGTGTGAAAGAAATGAAAATGGGTTTAAGGGGCTTCCTGGTTACTCAAGCTCCATCCGTCTCGCACCTCTCCTCTCCTCGTCTCTCTTCTCTTCTCCTCTCCTCTCCTCTCCTCTCCTCTCGTCTACTCTCCTCTCCTCTACTCTCCTCTCCTCACCTCCCGCCCCTTCCCATCCCAAAACGGCAGTCGCACCCCGCCTTTGTGGTGAAAACACGCCACTGACGAATGGTTTGAAGAGCTTCCTGGTAACTGTTTGAGGCGCCTAAAAAATTCCCATCCCTAACGGGCAGCGGCACCCCATCTTTGTGGTGCGAACACGCCACTGACGAATGGTTTGAAGAGCTTCCCGATAACTCAAGCGCCATCCCAGTCCCCTCCCATCTCTTTCCCCTCCTCTTGCCATTTTTTTAATCCAAAACCCGGAACCCCAGACGGGCATTGGCATTCCCATCTTTGTGGTGCCGGAGATGCCACTGGCGGAGTGGTTTGAGAAGTCGCTGGAGATTCAAGCACCTTCCGTCTCACATATCTCTCACCTCCTTTTGCCGCAATACCTCCTCTCCTCCCGCCCCCTCCCTCCCACCCCAGATGGGCATCGGCATCCCATCTTTTTGGTGCCGGAGACGCCTCTGGCGGAGTGGTTTGAGGGGTCACTGGAGATTCAAGCACCTTCCGTCTCACATATCTCTCATCTCCTCGCCTCTCCTCCCGCCCCCGTTCCACCTCAGACGGGCACCGGCATCCCATCTTTGTCGTGCCGGAGACGCCACTGGCGGAGTGGTTTGAGGGGTCACTGGAGAAGAGCCGCGAGGCCACGGGGGAGAACGAGCTGCTCGTCAACAGCTACCACCACCAGGTGAGCGTTTGCAGGGGTACTACTGGTTACCAGCATCAGGTGGGTGGGTTCAATAGGGTACTGGTTACCAGTCAGAGGGATGCTCCTCAAAAGTGGTCGCTGGAGAAGAGCCGTGAGGCCACGGGGGAGAACGAGCTGCTCGTCAACAGCTACCACCACCAGGTGAGTGTGTGCGAGGCTACAGGTTGGCACCACCAAGTGAGCGGGCGAGAGGGTACAGGTTACCACCACCAGGTTAGCGTGTACAAGGTACTACGGGTTACCAGCAGGTGAGGTCTCAGGTTCCCAGCAGCAGGTGAGGGTACAGGTTATCAGCACCAGATGGCAGGTTCTAAGCGATGGTTAGGTAGACGTCCTAAAGTTAGAGGTGTAGTTATGAATGCAGCAGATCACCCTCATGGAGGTGGTGAAGGTCGCGCTCCGATTGGTCGTAAAAGACCATTAACCACCACACAGCTCTTATCCATCACTCTGCCCCTTGACATCACGCACTGACTTAACGTTCTCTTCCCAACTCCTTGCACCCACTTCAGGGCGTGAGGGTGCTCGCATCCCGGTTCCGCCCCATGGCATTCGCAGCAGACGGGCTGATTGAAGCATTCTACGACCCGGACGTGCACTGCCCGCCCCGAGGGGGCTTCTTTGTGGGGCTGCAGTTCCACCCGGAGCGCATGAGGCGCTTCCAGGACGGGGAGGTGATATCTGGGGGCGGCCCCAGCTCGCCCAGAGAGGTCTTTGAGTACCCTGAATGCCCCAGGGCGTACCAGGTGCGTGCTCTGTTGCTTGCCCTGCTGCTTGCTCTGCTGCTGCTCTGTTTCTGCTCTGTCTCTGTGGCCTCTTGGATTCGCCAGGTGTGTCCAAGAGTTCCTCGCCCAGCCGCCCACACTCACTAATTCACTTGACTCCCTCCCGCACTCCCTCCCTCCCTCCCTCCCTCCCTCACTCACTCAGGAGTTTGTGGCAGCAGTGGTGGCATACGAACGCAAGGTGCGGCCGAGAATCCCCCGGCCAGCCGCCCTCATTCAATCACATCACTCACTCCCTCACTCAGGAGTTTGTGGCAGCAG